ACAGACAGACAGACAGACAGACATAGACAGACAGAGAGACAGATAGATAAGACAGAGAGACAGATAGATAGGTAGACAGACAGAGAGACAGATAGATAGACAGACAGACAGACAGACAGATAGATAGATAGACAGGCAGACAGACAGACAGACAGAGACAGACAGACAGACAGACAGATAGATAGAGACAGACAGACAGACAGACAGACAGACAGATATAGATAGATAGATAGATAGACAGATAGACAGATAGATAGATAGATAGATAGATAGATAGATAGACAGATATAGTTCTACTTAACTTGTCTGTTTTACCTTTAGTTATTTAGTACATCAACGTATAATGAATTAAAAATGAACTGAAATAAAATGTTTTTTTGTAGTTACTATAATAATCCTATACTTAACTAACTAAATATAGCTTCAAAACATACAAACGGTGAATATTTCAGCTGGAAACATTACACACACTTTTTCATTGTTACAAATTCAACAACCAATATTCACCTCTCAAAGTTTATTTGTATATTATTTGACTTTATACTGTTGCGTCCACAAAGTCAGTGGCTCAGATTCATGCGTTTAAATCTATTCCTCTGTCTGACACCAGAGACTTGCAGAAGGAAACATTTTTCAGTTACTTTAGTTTACTTGTTACATAATCTAAACATCTGTCATCAAGACCACCGCAAAAACAAAACAACCTGCAGTGATTCCCAGCATTAGCTGCTGCGTTGAATACTGCGCTGCTCAAAAAATAAAGTCTGATTCATTGAGATGCGAAGGTGAGGTTTGCAGTGTGATGATTATTAATGACGACTTACTTTACGCTTGACATCAGATGCCAGGCTGAAGAGAAGAGAGGTGTAGAAACCCAGCTCCAGCATGTAGTACCAGTACTGAGACGACAGGAGAGTCTGAGAGACAGAGAGAACGTTCACTCGAATAATGTACAGTATAAACTAGCCACATCTGATTACGTACTAACAGACTTTATTGTTATTATTTGACTGCAAATTCAGTTTGATGCAGATCAAATTTCTTGAGTAGAAGTGAGTAATATGACCAAAATCTTTATCAAAGAATGAGTAATTTATATCATGTTTACGGTATCATTTATTATGTTATTTTGCTGGAAATTCACCTCATAAATGTTCTATATATTCACCTCATAAATGTTCTATATATAACCATGTGATAAGGATTTTTTTAATTATCACGTCAACTAAATGCTTACATATGGGTTTAAATTCTACAAAAGAAAGGTACCATCTGATGTTATTATTTGCCTTGTGAGAAAGTCTGCTTTGAATGTGCACTTTTAAAAAGTATGTTTTCTTAAAAGTATTATTTCTTCATATGCATGCGTTTTAAACATTAAACATCAGAAATCTGGGTTTTCAGAATGACAAAGTGTATAAGTGTGCTCAACAGCACTGAATGTGCATTTGTACTGTACTTCAAATCTGAAAAGCATATTTTGTAAAAAAAAAAATAGTATAGTATTAATGAAATAAAAGGCCACTTAAGTGCACTTAAAGAGAGATACTTTCATGACTATCTCTTAACACACTTTTAAAAAGTGCACTTTGTAATAATGTCATACTTCCTTTTCACAAGGGATTCTTATTTTGAACTTTATATGAACTTAATTCTTATGCACTAAATTTGTAGTATGTGCAGCATGTTTCAAAATTGTTGTACAGTTACTAAAGTATACTGCATTTGCTGGAAATGACAAAAGAGCAGCTCGGCATGAGGCCATGTTTTTAACTCACCAGAGTGGGGAAGCCTTTCCACATCTCCTCGAGATCATACAACCAGGGCTTCTAGAGAAAGAGACGGACATGGCGGATTGTGTTAAGCATTAAATCAGCACAGGAAATAAAACCAGAGAGTTAAAACAGGCTGAAACTGCAAACGACTTACATCTATTAGTGCAGCAAGACCACCGATGAAGGCGAGAAGATAAAAGGCGAATCTCCAGCTACAAAAGAGCAAAGGTGGTTAGTTAAGTGTTAGATGACGTAACTAAACTGTTATGGGGGAAAACAGCTTTATTTTCCATTGATGATCTTTCAAAAGCAGTGTATACATGTTTTTTTCCCAAGTAACATACAAATATTTCACTATATTTGTGATGCACCAAATTTCAACATAAAAAAACATCTTCGTCTGAAAATTAATTTTCGGTTTTAGCCAAAACCGAAAATTAGTTCCGGAGGGTCAAAAACATTGACCAGAACAATGATGTTTAAATAGCATTTCTCTGATGCCACATTTTGACCGTGTTAGTGACTAATTCATGCACACAACGTGGATAAACTTTTTAATCAATCTTCATTTGGATGAACGGAGATCTTTTCCGTTGATCTGTGAGCAAAAATTCACTAAACTTTATTTTTAGTGCGTGCCATCCAATAATCACAATAATTTTCAAATAGTTGTATCTCAGCCAAATATTGTTCGATCCTAACAAACCATACATCAATGGAAAGCTTATTCATTCAGCTTTAAGGTGATGTATAAATCTCAATTTCAAAAAATTGACCCTTATGACTGGTTTTGTGCTCCAGGGTCACATATAAATACACACACATGCATGTGTTTATGAAAAATATGTTATGTTTATATATTAAATATATATTTATATAATATAAATTATATGAATATAAATATATAAATGTAAATACATGTAAATATTTTCAAAAGATATACTGTATGCGTGTGCATTTATATATACATAATAAATATACACAGTACACACACATACAGTATATGTAAACACAAACTTTTATTTTGGATGCGATTAATCGCCATTAATCGATTTGACGGCACTAATTTTTACTTAACTTGTTGTCTTTATTATTTAATGTATGTTTGAATAAATCTGTCATGAAAACAAGTTATTACAGCCACCGTTTAATTGTTTATATTTCATGAATTAGATTCAAACATAATTATATAATAAAAAAGTTGATATAAAAACAGCCTTATATGCAATTTAAATGTTCATATATAAAATAATTTTTAAGAGTGTTGAGTATCAAATAAATGTGATTAATTAATTCATTATTTTAAAAAACTTTATTTTCAGTTTCGGCTAAATTTCGGCTAAGTTTCGGTGTTCCCCTTTTCTGTGATTTGTTAAAAAAAAAGATTTCTAATGTAATTAATCACTAATTACATTGGATTTTTCACCACTACTTGATTATTTTTAAAGCTCTTTAAAGTGTGAAATAGTCTTATATATTTAGTCACTAGCAAAAAGTTTGAGAGCAGCCGAACAGTGATGTTTTTCTGGGTTGTGCACTATTAAGATGAATGGCAATGATACGCACCGAGATCCTCCTCGTTCACTATGTTTAACCTAAGTGCACCATTTCTTGCCATAGAATTCAATGCATTAGGCTTTAAGACCTGAGCTGGAAAAATGTGCAGTGCTGCCGTCCTCCAGGACCAGGATCGAGAAAATCTGCACGTGAACGAGCCTTTAAAACGTTTACTGAACATATGAATAATTTAATAAGTGCCAAACACCAGTAAGATCACTTCAGAGGATCAGACTTGGCATTTACGCAGAACTGACTTCAGCTTTTGCACTTACAGAAACCGCTTTCATAAAGCACCATTTAATCTCATACATCAGCAGCCAAAGCTCATCTCACAGGACGACGGTCGATGGTAACAGGACTATAGAAAGCACTTGTGAGGAGCGTGTATCTGTTGGTGTGTGTTTTTTCACCTGGCCTCACGAAACTTCTTGAGAAGGTTGGGTCTGTCTTGATTCCTGCGCCGCCTGAACCAGCGCTGGACCTGTCGCTCGGTCCATCCCGTCTGCTTGCACAGTTTCTCTACTGAACTCTGGAGAGCAAAAACACATGAAGAGCTGATACTGCAGGCTGATTTGTTATTCATGTATGAGAGTGGCTAGCAGTGTACACACCTGTGTGGGGTTTTTAGTTGTGTTGCAATAGTGGGACTCCAGTGTGAGGTTGTGTGTAACTCGCCGTCTGACTGTTTGTTTCAAGCCCAGCAGAGAGGCTAGCGGTGTAGCAACATATCTGAACATACAGGCAGACGTTTTCGAAAGAAATTAACACTTTTATTCAGCAAAGATGCATCAAATTGATCAAAAGTGGCAGTAAAGTTTTATTTTTATTTCAAATAAATGCTGTTCTTTTGAACTTTCTAGTCATCAAAGAATCCTGAAAAATAAAATGCATCACACTTTCCACAAACATATTGTGCAGCACAGCTGTTTTCAACATTGATAATAATCAGAAATGTATCTTGAGCAGCAAATCAGCATATTAGAATGATTTCTGAAGATCATGTGACACTGAAGACTGGAGTAATGATGCTGAAAATACAGCTGCGCATCACAGAAATAAATTACATTTTACAATATATTCACACAGAAAACAGCTATTTTAAATTGTAATAATATTTCAAATTTTTACTGTATTTTTGATCAAAGAAATGCAGCCTCGGTGAGCAGAAGAGATTTGTTTACACACGTTTTCAACTAAAAGAAAACCTTGAGATATAGCATTACGTTGTTGTAGAACATTGTGTATAATGCCTAATCATAAGCTTGTTCCGAAATGGTGACAAAAACTTGATTATTAAAAAATAATGTCTTTCTCTGTAAATGTCATTTAAATAAAAAAAATTTGAATATTCATTTTTTATGAGCCCAAATATTCAAATACAATATTTTTGAAAAATGCCCATCTCTAATTTTAACTTGCACTGCATTCTATAAAATATCAGTGACTCAATTGCTATGACAAACAGTTTGCACATGGATGCTGTAACAACACAAACAAGGGAACAAACACTGCACAGATACACAGACTGAGCCACCGGCCCCGTTACCTGTCTAAAACACAGAGACAGACACAGACAGAGATCTGGCAGACGAGACTGAACTGCATTGCAGATAGTGTGATGGGTGTGTCGCTGTCTGCTGGACACCGAGAGGACAAACACACATATTTAAACTAGCACTCAAAAGTTTTATGCATCAACAACACACTAAACTGATCAGAAGTGACAGTAAAAACATGTATAATATGTCTGTTTCAAAAGATTTCTATTTCAAATAAATGCTGTTATTCTGAACGTTCTATTCTTCTGTGAATCCTGAAAAATAAAATGCATCACACTTTCCACAAACATATTGTGCAGCACAGCTGTTTTCAACATTGATAATAATCAGAAATGTATCTTGAGCAGCAAATCAGCATATTAGAATGATTTCTGAAGATCATGTGACACTGAAGACTGGAGTAATGATGCTGAAAATACAGCTGCGCATCACAGCAATAAATTACATTTTACAATATATTCACACAGAAAACAGCTATTTTAAATTGTAATAATATTTCAAATTTTTACTGTATTTTTGATCAAATAAATGCAGCCTCAGTGAGCAGAAGAGACTACAAACATTAAAAAACCTTAACCCCTAACTTTTGAACAGTGTCTTTATCGTCCATATTTATAGTCTGTGTACCATTGTTGTATAATATTAGTCCATTTATTCAAAGACTTTAGATGAGTCTAAACAAAGACGGTGCATTCCTACGACTAATGAATGGGAGAAAGTGTGGCTTTGCTCCGGTTGCTATAGAAACAGTGAGCGTTCTGAGATGCACGCTAGGACTGCGCATGGGCATTGGCCAGTCTAGCCTGAAAAATAAGTTTTTTTAACGCTATTTGAGCATAAGAAACAACATTTATGAGACAGTTGTTGTCAGATTTTGGAGAATTTGATGTTTCACCATTCAAAGAGAGGCCACCGAGTGAAAAGACTTGTCTTAAATGGACCACTGCTTTCCGTTGCTACTGTCTTTTTATTATTATAATTATTTATTTATTTTATTAAAACAAATTTTTTTTGGACTATGCATTTTAAATGACCTTGATTGATATGTTGAATTGGACTGTTCAGTTTGATTAATGATTAGTGACTTTAGACTGTGGCTCTGTTCCAAATGCCTCAAAGTCTAGTCAGGCAGCTTATTATAGTTCAGACCAGATGATGTAATTAGGTGTATTTTAGCGCACTGATCCTAATTCAGCCTCTTATTCCTTAATTCTGAGACTCACGGTAATTAAAAATTCACAGGATGACTGAGAATGCAAGAGATGATGTGAAGAGACAGCTTAGGATAAGAGAGGGATGGGAGAGTAACATGAAGGGAGTGACGCAGGGAGAGAAGATATTAAAGTTTGAAAAGCGAGAGACAAAAAGCATGTCGACATGTATAAATAGAACTAAAGATCTATTTATAAACCAGTCAGACAGAGGCAGAGGGAGAGAAAATAATAAGCTCTGCATGGAGGGCATACAGTTAAACACAGAGGAAGAGAAAGACAGAGCTCTGACCCACCTCTCAAAGACCTGTCGAATTACTAGAAACAGGACGGCGATTGGCAGTGCCACCCACAAATCCCGTGCCTTCGCGTAGACTCGCCCATCACGGTCCTCCAGATCAGCCCATCCCAAACCCTCCGGGAACCACAGATGCTCCTGCCAGAACACTTCACTCACCCACTCCAGCATACTGCAGAACAGAGACACACAGCCGAGTTACACTCATGACTCTGAAAGACGCTTTTATCCAAAGCAACTCACACTGCATTCAAGGTACATGTTTTTATCAGTTCTTGCTTTCCCTGGGAATCGAACACATGACCTCTGTGTTGCTAGTGCCATGCTCTACTGTTTGAGCCATCCATCCATCCATCAATCTATTCATCCATCCATTCATCCATCATCTACCCATCCATCCATCATTCATCCATCCATTCATCCATCATCCACCCATCTATCATTCATCTATCATCCATCCATCAACCCACCCATCAATCGTCCATCTATCATCCATCCATCCATCCATCAATCTATTCATCCATCCATTCATCCATCATCTACCCATCCATCCATCATTCATCCATCCATCATCCATCCATTCATCCATCATCCACCCATCCATCATTCATCCATCCATCATCTATCCATCCATCCATCCATCCATCTATCATTCATCTATCATCCATCCATCAACCCACCCATCAATCGTCCATCTATCATCCATCTATCCATCCATCCACCCATCCATCCATCCATCCATCCATCCACCCACCCATCCATCCATCCATCCATTTATTCATTCATCCACCCACCCATCCATCTATCATCCATCCATTCATCCATCAACCCACCCATCCATCCATCCATCCATCCATCTATTCATCCATCTTCCATCCATCCATCCATCTATCACCCATCATCCATCCATCCGTACATCACCCATTCATCCATCAACCCACCCATCCATCATCCACACATCCATCCATTTATCCAACTATCCATCCACCCACCCACCATTCATCCATCCTCCATCTATCCATCCACCCACCCACCCATCACCCATCCATCATCCATCCATTCAACTATCATCAATCCATTCATCCATCAACCCACCCATCCATCCATCTATTCATTCCCCACCCATCATCCATCCATCATCCATCCACCCACCAACCCATCCATCATCCATCCTCCATCCATCCATCCATCCGTCAGTCTGCAATTAAAAAGCATGTTAAAGAAATGTTCATAGTCCAGACTTGCCTAAATGTTCTGACAATAATAATTACTCTGAAACCAATCTGTTTCTTCCTTCTCTGAAGAAACAGACATATAAAGAACATCCAGTCTGAGCAGCTTCAGGGGCGAACAACATACATGTCCTGAGTGGTTGCAGAGGCATCGCTTTGCGGTTGCTATAAAGAGTTCAGGGTGGTTTCAATCACATTACTTGAAACCACCCTGGTTTACTATCCACCTTTTTCTTCAACGCGGAAGTAAGCCTATGGGCGAGACTTCCAGTTCATTAGCCGCTATAGGCAAATAACGAGAAGATTAACAACGAGCAGTAAACTGTAAAACTGTTTGCTCTACAAACCAATGTGTTCATAAATAAGATAATACCTTAAAGTAATATGGTAAGACACACCAATTTTCAATATCAAGCAGCAAAACGAACTGTTTTGTTCAGCTAAAAATAGCTGGATGCAGATGAGACCGGAAGCTAGACCCATAGAATTTACAAATGGCCGCGCCGCCCATTTTTCCGGCAAGAAAAAGGTGGATAGGACGTTGCTAAGATGTTCTGGGTTGTTTCTGCCACGGAATAAAAATAAAATGTAGGCTAAATTTGACTTTTCATCTCACAATTCTGACTTTTTTTCTCACAATTCTGAGACATATAAACTCAAAAATGCGAAATATAATATATAGGCTATATATTACTACAGCAGCAGCACACTCTCCTCAACAACACACACGATTTGAAGAATCCTGCATGTCTGCAAGTCTGAACGCTGCAGGAAGACGCAAACACTGAACGCCGTTTGTTCCAAAACCTCTAAACCTCTAACCCGCAGTACGAGTGTAAACAACAGTGCTGCCTTAGCAAACACAACTGTGTTGTAAAATCTGATATGGGTACATGCATGGGCAATGTTAAACAGTGACACAGTGATCTCACGCAGCATCTCTGAAGCTTGCAGATCACGTAAAGCTTTGTTCCAGCTGCGCTGTGCTCACAGATGGTTTTGGCTCCTAGACACCATCTTTACTTTCGACTTACACGGATCACGCACAGGCTTCAAGTGGGTGGAGTGACTGGTTACGTTATAACCTCAAGACAGACCACAGTTGATCTAGATAAGCTGGATGTCGAGTTCGAGTTGTTGTTTTTCATTTTGAAGAGGAAGAGCGTGCATGCCATTTGATATTACAAGGCATCTGAAATCAGACTGAGGCAGATGTGATGTGTGTGCTCTGTACAGATATAGCTGAGGTTTGTGTGATGTGGTGACTCTATAGTGGCCTTCTAATTATTACTGCCGCTTACCAAGCCTTGCATTATTATTGCTTTGCATTATTATTACATGCACTTATTTTTTGAGTGTGAAACCCTGAAAAAAGAAGTGACCTAAGAGGGAGAAACTGTATAACCACTTATACTTTTTTACAAAAGATGCATTTTTTTTAATCAATTTGATTTCTGCCACCGCTTCTGTTTTCAAAATAAGCATGTAGCTTATTTTAAATTTAAAAACCTGCTCTTTTGAATGCACATGATGCTTCTGGCCATTACTCATATTAAGGGTTAAGAATTGTTTAATACTACAGTTTAAAGTTCAGTGTGTGTGTCATCTTGCAGCGTTTGTGCTCCAGACATGACTGATTCCTCAAATCATACGGCTAGTCTGAGTTTCAACATCAGGCCCCGATAACACAGTCTAGGGCTGAAACTACATGGTGACCTTACATTTAACGCTTTAGATATTCCACAGTTAAGCCTGAATCTGCACTCAGCTTTGCATGTTTGAAGTGTCATAGCAACGACTGCTCAGACAGGAAAAAGCTGCAGATCTATGCATAAAACAGCCTATCACAGTTCATTATTTTGTTATATGATGCAATAGTTTCTGCAAATGATTTCACAAGAGTGGGGAACGTATGTGTAGTCAGAATGGGGAAATATCTCAGCGAAAAACATAGTACTTGATGACATCTCATGGCAATCACATAAAGTAGGTATTCCCCAGAAGAGCTAATTATAGCAGCCTAGTTTTGTCCTGACTGTTTTCTGATAGTCTGATGAAAATCCCTTGTGCAGCGCCTGGTCTCAGTGTCAGACATATACACCATCTGATGCATACTGCACAAAAAACTGGAAAGCATCAGGTGCAATCTGATTGACTGTCCATAAGAAACTTCAGGGTGCACAGGTTTAAACCAGATCACCTGGGAACAAAACTGTGCTTACAAAGTACCAGAATGCTACAAAGAGCCCTGCTGGATTTGGGTTTGCATTACATCTTTGCATTTCGGTTACAAGAGTAGCAAGTACAACCGTATATTTCAATTTGTGTGAAATTTTTAAAGTCGGCATGAAATGAAAATCCAACATATATTTTTTTTAATAAATGCATATAGGTCTTATTGTGAATGATTCATACGGGTATAATTTTTTTGATCTCTTAAAAGTTTAATCGATATGGCATAACTCGATCTTTCATGTGAAATGACAGGCTTCACTTTGGTGATGCATGCAGGACTTTCCAATCAAAATAATGGAAAAGTACATTTTAAATCATTATGTTTTACTAATCTTGTCTCATGCTTTAAAGTACACTTATTTCGATTTTGTTGACTACTAAAGCACATGTAAAGTACTATAAAGTATAGGTATTTGATTGTAAGTTTAACTGTATTGTGTTATTCGATATTACATTATTAATATATTTTAAATGTACTAAATTAATTATTACAAATGGGTAATTACAAATATATTTAAATACACAGGTTTCAATAGAAATGACGGTAAAAGTACATTTTAGTTTATCATAAATGCTTGTCAGTACATTCAGTAATAACACTATAACTATATTTCAAAGATATTTGTAGTTACGTGTACTTTTAAACTTAAGTCCTACTTAAGTGGGTCAAAAAGCACACTGAAGTTCAGCTAACTGCATTTAATATAACTTTAAATGATAATACATTTTCATTCAATTGCAATTAACATGCATTTAAGTATCTGAAAACATTACATTTAGTTTGCACTTATGTTTAGTAGCCCACTTTTAAACACGCCCCTTTCTTACAATTGTTTGCAAGCAAGTGCCACGCCCACATCTCAACAGCCAATCAACAGCTGAAGCATAGAATCGAGATCTTTTTCTTTTTTTGATAATGCATTACACCGAGATGTACATCACAATATGGAAGAAGAAAAATCTTCATCACGACTTTAATGGGTTTCTGCCACAAAACTCTATTATTGTGGTATCACTCAAAGGTTTAGCACCATCCATTTCTTTGGGCCAATCACCAGAACCATAAACGGCATGTGTCTGATCACTCTATTAAAGTGCACACAGACAATGATCGGTGTTTTTCTGAGAGCGTCTCCTCTCGCTGACCCCTGTGAGAGGACAAAGCTCCAGCAGATGTGGCCTGAACATTACCTTCATTGTTATTCTCCACTCACACAATCCATCACAGAACAATAACACCACACCGCTCATGAATTCATGAGGTCAGACGAACATGTGCAGCAGGTTCAACACAATTCATTTCAGAGAATTAGTTACGGATGAGTTTTCAAGTGTTTGGTCAAACTGGGGGCATGTGCTACATAAACAGATGCATTAGGAAATGCATAAGGAAATAATCTTGGAATTTACATTTTCTCATTTTTATGTTCCACAGCAGAAAATAACAACGATATGGGAGTACAATATGAATAAATGAACAGAATTTTTATTTTGGTGAACTGTTCCTTTAAATCCCATGAGTTACATTTAAGAGATGACAGTTTTATAAAACAGAAGTTGAATCAGTGGCAGACTAACACGCTTCTGTTTTAATGTTTGGGTGCAGCGACTGTGTTCTTCCTGTTGTTAGAGCAGTTCATAAACAACAGCCCTAAACGAACCCTGGTCAAAATTGAGACCATCGAAATTTAATTCACTGCGCTTA